TTCCTTCCTTCCTTCCTTCCTTCCTTCCTTCCTTCCTTCCTTCCTTCCTTTCTTTCTTTCTTTCTTTCTTTCTTTCTTTCTTTCTTTTTTAATCATCTGGTTTTCTATTCCTTCTTTTTTTTTGACATCTTATGAGGTCATTCCCCATGGACATGCTATTCTATTTCTCATCATTTCAAAATTTATTTGTCTTGCTGGGAACCATGACAACACCTTTAATCATAGAATTTGGGAGGCAGAAGCAAGAAGATCTCTGTGAGTTTGAGATCAACCTAGCCTACATATCAAGTTCCAGGACAGGCAGAGTAACATTGTGATACCTTGTTACAAAACAAAACCCAACTCAAGATGTGTTTGATTTAAATTATATGGTATAAGTCATCCACATAGTAATACAGATTTGTCAATATTCTTGTGGGACATTTTCCAGAAGGGACTGAATATCAAAAGAAGAATATTTTAAGACAAATTACTTGCTTTAGCACTTAATAATGTCCATTCAAATTTGTTTAGTCAGCCAATGGTTTCTCTGAGACACCTACAATATTGTTCAGTGTTCAAACACATGGCATTGTTTAACTCTAGGGAAGGTTTTCACTGAGTTTAAGATGTAGGCAAGAGCATACACACTTGGACTTGGATGTTGCTCTAAACCCTGTTGGAGAGAGATTCTACTGATGTTTGGGAGTTACTCAGGGGCCAATAGGATGATCTTGTACATTCAAAATTCCCCATTGAAATCAGGGGTAACTCACAATTAAAATATGAGCAAGAGCAGAATTGCAATGCAGTTGTCTATCTCACAGTCAGTCCTAACTCAGTTGTCTGTATGTTGAATCACATTAACTTATGGAAATAATCTTTCTTTGAAATGGAAGTGACTTTTAGTCTAGTTTTCCACCCCCACAGGAATTCCTTTCTTAAATATCTTAGGGAGTTTCTGTTTGACTTTGGACATGTGCTTCTGTTAATAGTAAACCCAAAACCTTTCTGAGGGAGATTAGGGAAGAATTCTTTGCCAAGTCAGCTTAATAAGAGACTGTCAAAGACATCACAAGAAAACACACAGAAACCTGGCTCATAGGAACTCACAGAGTCTAAACCAACAACCAGGGAGCCTGCATTGGACTGACCCAAACCCTCTCTATATATGTGACAATTGTGTAGCTTGGTCTACTTGTGGGACTCTTAACAATGGGAACATTGTTCCTCCTTTGCACATGCTGGTAGTTCTCTCAGTCTGTCCCTGACCCCATTTTCATGTTATATCAACTGCTTTATCATCTACCACTTTTTTTTTTACAGAGAAATATCATCTATTTAATTAAGCATATTTCTTTCTTTTTTTTATTAAGAATTTTTTCCATTCATTTTACACACCAAAGATCCCTCTTTTCCCTCCTCCTGTCCCCCAACCCCTCCCCCCAATTTACCCCCCACTCTCCTCTACAAGAAGGGAAGACCTCCCATGGAGAGGCACATCCAGTAGAGGCAAGCCCAAGCCCTTCTCCCTGCCTCAAGGCTGCATGAGCTGTCCCATCATAGGTAGTGGGTTCCAAAAAGCCCCCTCATACACCAGGGATGGATTCTGATTCTACTGCCAGGGGGCTCCCCAAGCAGATCAAGCTACACAATTGTCTCACCATGCAGAGGACCTAGTCCAGTCCCATGCAGATTCCACAGCCATTGATCCAACTTTTATGAGTTCCCACTAGTTTGGTTTGGCCATCTCTGCAAGTTTCCCCATCATGATCCTGATGTACTTGTTCATAGAATTCCTCCTCTCTTTCTCCTGCTGGACTTCTGGAGTTTTGCCTCGTGTTTGGCTGTGAATCTCTGCCTCTCTACCATTTTTTTCTCCCACAAACAGAAAAGAAGCATCTTCAAGATAGGGAGGCATTTAGGAGTTGAAATGAATAGAGGCAGAATAGTAACTAGTAAATTTGACTTCCAGGACAAGAAAATATAGAGAGTACCATTAAATTGACTTTTATATCAAGATATGGTTTACAGTTAAGGATAAAGAACAATACATCTCATCCAGGAGTACCCATTCTGCTACCCATGACTACCTACTACCTTGAAATTATATTTATTTATTTATTTATTTATTTATTTATTTATTTATTTATTTATAGTTATTTGTGTGTGTGCTTCTTCAATTTGAATATGTAGTGCAAAGACCCATTACCATAAACCTGCCACTGGAAAAATGATGGCTTCCATTTGCCAGCAGCCTAATTCTCTTTAGGGGAGACTGTTAGGTTGAGGCTACATTCCTAAAGCTGTGTCTTTTCCATGTTACTTTGAACTGAGGCAAATTCAGTTTTTCTTCATGGAGTTAAGTTTTAGAATTTGCTCTTTCAAAACTTTTACAAACTCCAGGGTAAACTTATAATGAAATTATATGTGGGGAAAAAATCTGTCCCTAGGTCAAAAGGAAAATGATGTGTGTGAACTTGGAGCCTGGCCTGAGATCCTAGCAGGGACTAAGCAGAGGTCTTGAGGGTAATATAAAGCATCCTGCAGAGAAATTACTTACCAATGCTATCATAAGGAATCACAATCGTCCCTGAGTCGACCCACGTTTTGGTGTAGATGAAGAGGCAAAGGGGCATCATTCCAAGGGCAAGCAGTGTGGAGCAAGTGGTCATGCTGACACTGGAATGAAACAAACAGCTCTAGGTGACGACCTGTGTTTTTTAGGGGAGGTGCTCTTTCATTTTCGATTTCTGTGAGACTCAATCAGTACATCATTCTGTATGGTGATAGAAATATATATTGACCATGTTTTTAAAGTGCCTGGCCTTGTGCAGGGTCACCTATACTTGGTGTCTTCTCACATAGTCTGCACCACCCTTCCCTCAGTAACTGTTCTCACAGCTCATAAAGAATTGCCAAAGATGCTTAAAAATAATTATTGAAGAAAGTATCAAGTGTCTGGGCTCGTGACCTCTTATATATGACATTTTCCTCCACGCATAACCTGTCATACCAGACTGTCTTAGAATAGAAATTACTTTGATGTAGTAGCTATGACAATGAAAGAAGCCAAACAGTATGATGCTAACTAGTCTATGATAATGGTAATGGGAGTGGTGACATTTCCCTGTAGTAAAGGTGTTGGGAGGGTCACAGGACCCCACCCAGAATTTCAGTTGGAAACCCCTTCCCTTTTGCCCCATCCTTACATCCCTCATATTGGGAGCTGCTACAGCATACAGGAAAGGAAAGTAGAATACGGGGGTAGACTCTGACCATGATGGGGTGGACTTTGTAGCAATGAATTTGTTTTGGGTTTATTGACACTTCTAGGCGTAAACTCTTCTCTGTGCTTTCTAAGTAAGTTCAATAAACTTGTTGGTTCAACAAGTGGAACTTAGGTGAAATCTTTACTTTGGTTTCTTATCAGGGTGAATAGATGTTTGTTCACACCTTCCCTGGGAAAGTTAATGTAACATCACTGTCTGAGTCAGCAATCAGAATAGCAAACACTTTGTTTACTGTGGGTGCCTGACTGAGTAGGAAGATTTAGGTTTTTGATATGGAAGAATTTCTTAAAGGATGCTATTTTCAGCACTATGACAGAATGGAAGAGAGGCTTTTGAGTAATGGGTCTTCCTGGTACTCTTCAAAATGTCCTGGACACAGGGTTATATTCTTTGCTTGTAAAACAGAGGGACTTAATAACTGAGCTCTGAAGGCACACACTGCATTGGAATAATGTGATGTCCCTTAGTATGTGGGTTTGGGTAATGCATTGGACTTTTCTTTGTCACTGGTACCTCACAGATTACAAATAATTAAACAGTCAGTGGAGTTTGGTTTCTGGAACAATACTAAGAGGAAAGTCAGTTATATTTACAGTACACCCCCCAGCCCCACCCCTGGCCAACAAGTGGTAAGGAAAGCAGATGAAGATAAATGATTTTCAATTTTATGAATAAATATTTTATTTATTTTATCAATAAATGATTTTATTTCAATGCATCTGATAATAAATTTGCATAATTTGAGCAAAGTAATGGGTAGTCATTCAGGCTTAACTTCTTTAGTAATTTTTGTAAGTGAATGAACATAAAATGGGTTTAAATGATTTTGACTAAAACGTTTGTGTTAATAGAGCTAAAATATTGTGACAGTAAACCAATATAAAAGATGCATTTAAAAGACTTTCTGAAGGCAGGAAGAAATGAAAGACCAAGTATCATATGTTTAACTCACATATAGAGCCACCCCTGTCCACATGTCTGTCTGTCTGTCTATCAAGTGTCTCTGTATCTGACTCTCTTCCACTCCAAATATATATGGCCATCTGTGCCCCTTTCCCTTTTGTCTGCCAATATCTGTGATTTCCAGAAGGAAATATTCACAAGATTGAACCTATTAACTTTCTATCATGGCTGGGGTATGTGTGTTCACAAAGCTTTGTACCTCCCCAAGGATTTATACAGCCAATGGTTGCTTGAGGATGAGAGACATGTTTTTTAGTAGGGCAGCTAACTATAAGTTGTCCATGTTCCTGCAAGAGTAACCTCAATTAAACTCATTGATTCATTAAGCTAGATTTTCATGGAATCATTTCTTTACTTCTGTTGTTGGTGTCCTATCTATGGTAGGTAGCTGTTTATTCACATCTCCTCAGAAAAATGTTACACAATGATATGAAATGGCCTGAAGACTAAGTAGACGGGGGCAGAGAAAAAGTGTGGGGAGGACATTGGGAACAATGACTCTTAGTGAGGCACAAAGATAATGTATGAACTGAGATATAATGAAATGTATTGTTTTACATTCTAACTAAAATAAATTAAAAAGAGTTTCTCATAGTTTTAACTGTGGTCATTGATGAACTTAATGTAGACAATGCAGTACCCCCCTCAAAAAAACTCTAAAAAATCAAAAAAAAAAAATGAACAAAGAAACAAAAACATTCATTTGCTAGCAATGCTTCATCCTTTTTGTAACTAACATACTGGAATTTTCAAATCTGCTCCCCTTCCTTCTTTCACTGTTCTGACATTGTTTATCTTAACCTGCTCCACAATAAAAGCCCTTTGTTGCTGGGCTGGGCATCTAGCATGTCCTCATAATGAGGAGGGAATTCAGGGGAACAGGATTCCTTATCAGCGCATGGTGAAGAGGAAGAGGCCAAGAATGATTTTTCTTTTAAACTACAGAACAGATATTAGAAGGAAGTCAGGATTTTTCTGTTGTTATACTTTGTAAAAATATATATAGCCTTGTTAAAGTTTGAATGAAAATTATTGTCCAACTTAAGAAATTGTATTGTGGTTTTGATTTGACTTGAGAAATTTCTTAGTGAAACATCATAGGAGAGAAAAGATGGAAGTTGGAAAATGAAGGGTTTAGATGTAGTGAGAATCTTGACAATAAGATGTTGAGGAATAAGTGAAAAGGGGCTAGACTTTGATGTTATCTGAGCTAATAACAAGAACAAGACAAAAATACTGTTGAATACTGTTGAAATGTTTCACAGAGAACTTTCATAAACAGTAGGGAGAATAATAACTTCAAAAAACAAAAAATGTATTTTATGTGAAAAAATTTTAAGTTCTATGAAAGGCATAGATGTTAAAAATATAAATACTTTTGAGAAGTCACATTGGAATGATAAAAACTAATGTATTAGTAAATTAAAAATATCATTTGGCTTTAATTTTTCTCATGTAAGTCTATTACTGCTAGGGAAAGCATTTATATGGGGGAAATGAAGTTCATAACCAAAGATTTGGTATGTATTGAGGAATCGAGTGGAATAGGATAAAGAAATAGAAAAGACTTCAATCACATCAAAAGTGAAACTCCACCTTTGAAATATCAACAGACGTATGTCTGATTCTGTAGACTGGGCAGGTGATAGGTATGATGTGATCAAAGGTCAAGAGCCAAGAGGAGTCCAGTAGATATTGTCTGTCTGGATCCCAAATCTGATACTGACATTCACCAACTTGATGACTTTGGCAAAGGTTGTAAACCTTAATTTTTCTCATCTGTCAATGCAGAAGACCCTAGGATTCTTTGGAGGGTTAAAATACACTAATGATCTTTAAGAATTTAGCCTTATATTTGGTACCTCAAAGCATCTAATAAATACTAGCTAGTAAAATAAAAATCATTATTTCATGAAAGGAACAAAGTTTGCTTACTGTGAGTGAAGCTAAAAGAATGAGTCAAATGGGATTGGATTGGTTCTCCCACAGGTTCTTCCACAAAGAAGAGATGAGTGTACATGTGTTTGAAAGAGGAGGCACTGCTTTGACCAGCCAGAAGGTTATGGATCTTGAAAATATCAATGAGTTTGCATACATGCATGTATATGGGTGCTCACAAAGGCCAAAGGAGGCCATCCTATCCCCTGGAGTTGGAGTTGCAGTTTTAATCCACCTGATAGGGGTTCTGGGAGTGAAACTTAGGTCATCCACAAGAGCAGCAAGTTTTCTTAGTCCCTCAGACATCTCTCCAACCCCTAATGTCATCTTGCATTGTAGCATGACCACCTCTTTATGACAAAGGTCAACTATAGCACACATTATTTTTCACTGTGATAAAACTTTGGTAATGTCTTCTGTACTATCCTACTGAAATAATTTGTCCTCAGCATACGGGATATAAGGGTATTGATATGGTACCACATACTACTGATCTTAGGTTCAGCAATAACATATGATATTATGTTCAGGTACAGGCTGTACTGTTACAAGGCTGTATTGTTTAAAACTTACAAATATCAAGAAGCCATTTAGTATATGTCAAATCCTAAGGGTCACTCCCCACAGTCTGATTCTTATGAGTTCCTGGAAATCTCACCCACTGTGTGTGTGTGTGTGTGTGTGTGTGTGTGTGTGTGTGTGTGTGTGTGCAGGTCAATGGATTAGAAGCCCCAAAAGTCCTGATTACTATATTGTGGTTCACAGATTAACTAAATGCCAATAACACTTATCATCTGTGTTATTTCACAGGGCTTTTCTTTAAGGAAACTAACATCTGTTGCTAGGCAGCAATCCTAGGTCCCTATGCAAAAATGCGTAATGCATATTCTTTGTTTCCTAAGGCACCAGGAAAATAGCACCAATTGGGAGTTGATGGTTAGTTCCCTGCTGCTCACCAGGCACCCAGGGACTAACAAAGCTGATGGCAGGTTGTCCAGTATTTAATAAGCACATGGTTTTTGAACAGCTCAATGCTTAGCTGAAATGCATGTCTTCCACAGGAGATGAGGAAAGTGACACTTAACTATCTTTCAGAATTAAAAACTTCTGCTTTAGTCCCATTAATGCTGCTTCTTCCTCTCTCCTACCCAGTGCTAGTTCAAACTGGCACAGATTGGATTTGACAAATATTACAGTTAGATTACTCTGTTGAAAAACAGAGAAATTATTTTCTCTTCATTTTATGGAGAAGTAAGGATAATTAAAAAAATACTGCTGAAGAATTTTTTCCTTTTAGTGTCAGCAGAGATAAAGTGAATTTATGAATTCTTCATTAGATTTTAGCCAAGAGGTATTATGTCTAAAGAACAGGCAGTTTGGTGGAGCTGATGTCGACCACAGAGTTTGAGCTTGTATTTGCACTCAGACCCCCCTTGTTATCAAAAAGAAAGTTCTTCCTTATTCCATTCTAACAAGACTTTCTCAGTTATAGTTGTGGATGGGAAAGGATTATTTAATTAAAAAAAAAACTACTTTGAATCTATTCCCAGCGATAATACAACTTCTCATTAACTGAGTTAGAATTCAAAGTGCAAGCATAGTAATTCAGACTAAAAAAGACAGATATCAAGGTTTCCTCTCAGATGGACATCTAGATTTAAATTTATATATTTGCACACAGTCATATACACACAGGACATGGTAAAGAGGAAACTATCAGGGAAGAGCAGGAAGTTGAAAGCAAGGAAAGAACAGAGAAGGTAACAGAATGTGTGTGACAGGAAAGCAGGCCAGGAGTGGTCCAGAAGGAGGGAGAGAGGGACTGGGATGGCAATCAGGGATGATTAAGAACAAAGCATAATGATATATGTGTATACAAATATCACACAGAAACCTACTACTTTGCGTGCTAACTGAAACTATTAAAGATACAAAATTAAAATCTAAATTACTGTTTTGTTTCAGGATGATAGCTATAAAAATTCACAGGCACAAAAGGAAAGTCCCCGATTCTAACAGCGAAGCAGCTGTCCCAGAAGATGCACTCTTCCCATTTAACTACCTAGTCAGATGTCTAGCCAGTGCAGCTGGTTAGAAGGACATTGAAAATTATAAAGGTTTCCAAGTGTCACCCCAGCATACCGCAGCAGTTGCAGATGCCTCCATCTTACCTGAGGTCCATGTCGCCATCTACCCAATAGGCCAGGATATTGGAAGCAGTTCCTCCAGGGCAGCAGCCCATAATTAGCACCACCACAGCTTGTATAGGGAGGATGCCAAAGGCTACAGACAGGATGAAGCCTGTGAGAGGCATGATTCCAAACTGACAGAGGAAGCCCACGAAGATGCCCCATGGCCGTCTTAAGTGTCCCAGGAACTTGTGAATTTCCACATTGCACCCCATAGAAAACATTACCAGGGCCAGCAGGATAGTGAGTACAGTGCTCATCACCAGACTGAGAACAGCATTGAAGTTGCTCTCGGGTGCTAGGCAGGAATCACGTTCGCAGACAGTTGCATTGGGGGGACAGACGGAGGTATTATCCATCATGGCTGTGCTGTTCAAATGGCCAAGTCCACAGAAGCACCTGTATCCTGGTTCTGTATCTACTGCCAGCTGAGTATCACTTACTAAACACGTCAAACTTTTAAACCCTTTCTAAATATGTGGTACTTAGTGTCTCTTTCAATAGCCACGTTAGAGAAGCAATAAAAAACAATAAATGCTAGTATGTCAGTTTCGAGAGGCCTCATTACAACACAGCACAAATAATGAATCATAAAAGTCCAGAAAAACTACTGGCCAAGACAGAAAGTTATAATTAATCATTTATTGGCAGGATAATGAACTGTGCCACATAAAAATAGCCATGTTAATGTTTAATGTCAGGAAGGTTTGCTGAATAATTTTAGTTAAAATTAAAGTAAACTCTGAATTGTAGAGCATTCTAAGGGTATAAGAAAGCATATTATTCCCTCCTCTCACTTTAGGGAGGGATGGGGCTTAGAAAATTACATTATAAACAAAAAATCATTAACCCTGTGCCAAGCTACATTACAAATTAACAACAGACTGAAGGAGATTTCCAGCTTTCCTACAATAGTTCTCACCTGGCACTCTTCCTTGTATGTACTACAGTGTCCATAAAATATATGTATGTTCCAGAGACCTCAAGGGGTTGGAAGAAAACTTAGGGAGGGTGGTTAACACTTGAGGGTACAGATGTTTTCTGCTGGAGAGAGTCTGTCATATACAGCAGCCCTCAATTACTTACGCATGCAATTATGCATGTATTGCCATGGCAACAAAGTGCCTTATAGATAGAGACAATACAGTTATTTAGAAAGATGAACTCCACATTAAGTCAAAGTAACAATATATTTATTTGTGCTTAGAGTCAGGAATTAAAATTAGGTGGTGTGTGTGTGTGTGTGTGTGTGTGTGTGTGTGTGTGTGTGTAAAGGGGGAAGGATTCTAAGAGGTGATTGGAAATATTAAGTGGTTACCTTTGTGGTGGATGGGCAGAACACTGTAGTTTTATATATATAGGGAAGACACAAAAATAGGCAGAGGAGAGAGAGATGGTCCAGTTCTGCGGTGTTTAAAATGCAACATTAGAATAGGATGGGTGTGGCACATAGTTGTAGTCTCAGTACAGAGAATGAGGTGTAAAGGGTGTTTAGTTCAAGGCCACATGGACTGCAGAATGGGACTCTTTTTCACCTCTCTCCTCCAGGAAAATGAACACATAAAAAATAAGTAAGTAAGCAAGTAAGTAAACAAACAGAATAGTTTCTTAGAATTCAGTGTGCCCAAGATCATTGGGGGTGGGGAGGTGGGGGCTGGTGGTTAGAATGTAGGTTCTGAGTCTGTAAATCTGGGCTGGACTTCGTTTTCTAGGAGCTCACGGTTGATGGTAACGATGCTGAGAATGGCCAGGGCTTTGTGTCAGCAGTTGTAGCCCGATGGTGAAGTCTTACCACTCACACTCAGAAGCTGCCTGTGAGGAAAACTCTGCACAGGAAGAATGGCTTTCTTATCACCACTGGGCTGCCAGGCCAAAGAGCAAATAACCCCAGGCCCTAGCAGCTGGCGTCTGGAGACACAGTCCCTTTAATCATTGAGTTACCAACCTGATCAGAACTATTTCCCTAACTGGTCACTGATTCCTTCTTGTTGTTGAAATAACTTCTGTCCCAGGGATGTCCTCTTCTCTGTTAGGGTAGGTTGCTCTGTGCTTTCTCCTGTGGGTGGGCTGCAATCGGCTCTGCAAATCCAGGCTGGGATTGCCCTAGGCGGGATTCAGTGGGCTAGAGGTTTGCTTCTGGAAGATCCTTTCTTCTCTCCCACTATCTGCCTCACCTGTGGGTGGCTAAATGATTAGCTAGGTTTCCCAGGAAGGCCTCTCCTGCCAATCCTGGCTGTACTTCACCAAGATCTCCTGGCCATTGACCTCTGTCTTACTTCCTCTCTTGGTCCTAGCCAATCCCCAGGTATGTGAGTGGGGTGCGCCCCCTGCTGCTGCCTCTGTGTACCTGCCAGCACCATGTCCCCTCCTCCCTGTTTCAATTTACCTAATCCTTAAAGTAAAAGTAAAAAAGGTAGACTAGGCCCTTACTCCATATAGCCTATTTATTTCAGCAGGTTTTGTCTGTCAAGGAAAATTTGAGGCCTAGGCTAGAAGGATTTAGATTTGTAAATTTCTCCGAAACTGAAAGGCTTCACCATGAGGCCAAAGCACATCACTTTCAGACTCCCTCCTATTTTGAATGCCAGGCTTGGCCAGGGCAGCAAGCTCCATGGTTCTGGCTGAGCTGGTCATCTGCAATCGATTCTTCTCCTCTGCATCTCTCTTCTTCCTTTTTCAAATAAATGTATTTATTTAACTTAATGATGCAAGAATGGCCATATTGTTTCTAATAAAGAACTTTTCTAATTGTGATTTTTTTTTATGGCTGAACATTTGTCAAAATATTTTTAATTGATGTATACTCCATGGTGACAGGTTTCATAAAGACATCTTTTTTTAAGTAGATTAAGAACTTTGGCCCTCACCACTCCCACTTCCCTCCCTCAATTTCTCCCAATCCTGCTTCTGTTTTTCTGTCATATAAATAAATGATTTTATATATCTTTATAGACTGTAGGGTTAACAACAAGAGAACATGTGATGTTTGTCTCTAAATCTGGATTATTTTGTTTAATATGATAATCTCTAGTTGTATCAATTTTCCAGGAAATATGTAATTTTATTCCTTTTTCTGACTAAATAACGCTCCAATGTATAACTGTACTACCATTTCTTTATCCATTTCTCTGTTGACAGACACCTAGACCAATCCCATAACTGGGGTATTGTGGGTGGTGCTGTAATAACCATGGGTGTGAAAATGTCTCTGTGTTGTATTGACTTGGTAGCCTCTGGATATTCACCCAAGAGTGATCAGCTAGGACATAAGGGAGTTCTATTCCTAGCTTTTGGAGGAATCTCCACCCTGATTTCCTTTGCCACAGTGCTGGAATCAGAGAAGAGAAAGCAAAGAGTGAAGAAAGCAGGCTCAGAACAAAGCTGTTACCCAATTTGAGATGACTCGCTGAGGAGACCTTAAGCTTCCAGGGAAGAATGTGGACAACTTGCAAATGAACAGACTGCTTGACTAGACATAGTGCTACAGTTTTGGCTTTAAAAAATGTGTCAATTGCATTTCTAATTTTCACATTGTTTTTACATAAATTTTCACATTAGGTTCGAGAGACCTTATATTCAAGTATTGGAATGATTCACAATTAATGAGTATCCTTAACTTTAGATGTATTCAACTCCAGGGTGTTACAAGTGTTTAAATACACAGAAATAACTGATTTTATACAGAATGGAGGGACAGATGCACACTTGACAGGGGAGGGTGGGATGCTGAAGTTTGGTTTTCCATTATCATGGTTCTCAATTTCCTCACAGGAATCTCAGTTCCCAGTGTTCTAAACAAAGAAGTACCTTGCTGCCTTGGCATCCTGGGTGGGGACATGGAGGTTGTGCCTTAACTTGACACTTAAAGCTTCCCGTTGGGTCCCTTCTCATGTGGTGTCAGTTGGCAGGGACTGGGCTTTAATAGCTTGCCAGCATGTTTACCCTAAAGTTCCACGATAAAAGATAAGCTCTCTCTTTTCTGTTGTGATCCACCAGTGATGTCTCTATTCAGACCCATTACCATTGGCCTATGAGTGAGGCGGCTGAACACCTTCCTGTCGATGAACTATCTCACCCCAACTTCTGGCCATTGATACCCCAGAGAGCATAAAATTCCCTTAACTGCAATTATTTGACACTTCCATTAACTTTTTTTTTTTTTGAAAGAAAGCGTACCTGAGAAATAAGTGGTTAATGAAGATGAGGGAAAAGGTAGCAGGGAATAGAAGAAGCAAGAAGGATGGAAGGATCAGAACCTAGTAAAGGACAAAGTTGCAGGCTTGGAAGCAGGACTTGTTCCTGGCCACTTTCCTTGGAAAGTTCTATGCAAATGTTTAGGTCTTAATAACTGTGAAGGCTTACCAAAAAGCCTTCAGAAAACGTAGACAAATCCCATAACCGAGTTATCCTGGACAAATGTATTGAACTGAAGAAATCTTTAAGTGGTGTTTTCTGACGACATGAACTAAATCTCCATAGTAGCCCCACTGAGAATATCTCCCATGCAGAAAAATGTCTTTTGTGTACACAATAGACTTCTTTACAACATTTAGGATGAATGACTGTAGCTACAGTTTTCCTGCCTGGCCCACAGTCAGGACAAATCTCTGTCACCTGCCAGTCCCACAGCCTCTTAGACCCAACCAAGTAAACACAGAGACTTATATTGCTTACAAACTTTATGGCCATGGCAGGCTTCTTGCTAACTGTTCTTTTTTTTTTTTTTTTTTTTTTTGGTTTTTTCGAGACAGGGTTTCTCTGTGTAGCTTTGCGCCTTTCCTGGAGCTCACTTGGTAGCCCAGGCTGGCCTCGAACTCACAAAGATCCGCCTGCCTCTGCCTCCCGAGTGCTGGGATTAAAGGCGTGCGCCACCACGCCCGGCTGCTAACTGTTCTTATAGCTTAAATTAATCCATTTCCATAAATCTATACCTTGTCACGTGGCTCGTGGCTTACCGGCATCTTCACATGCTGTTTGTCATGGCGGTGGCTGGCAGTGTCTCCCTTTCCCTTCCTGTTCCCTTAATTCTCCTCTCTGTTAGTCCCGCCTATACTTTCTGCCTAGCCACTGGCCAATCAGTGTTTTATTTATTGACCAATCAGAGTAATTTGACATACAGACCATCCCACAGCAAATGACCTATTATCTATCTGTCTGTCTGTCTATCTGCCTATCTATCATCTATCTATCTATCATCTATCTATCTATCTATCTATCTATCTATCTATCTATCTATCTATCATCATCATCTATATATCTAAAATGTTGAGTTAAAGAAGCCAAACAAAAAAGAGAATCCACAAAAATTATGGTAACATATGCTGTTAGAAGTTAGGAGAGACATTAACAGTGAAATGTGTGAGGGACTTCCATCTTGTGAAAGGTGTCACAAGATGT